TGAAGAAGGTCTGGTCATGCCCGAGGAGATTGGCTTGGCGTCGGCGCGCATCGTCGACTCGCGCATTGTGACCCGCGGCGGCCAAAAGTACGTGCAGTACAAGCTCGAGATCCAGACGACCAACTTTGGCACGGTCTACTGCTGGAAGCGCTACTCGACGTTCCGCGCGCTCTGCGACCGGCTCCAGAAGGAGGCCGGCTTCAAGAAGACGGAGATCCCGCAGCTGCCCAAGCGCCACATCCTCGGCAACCTCTCCCAAAAGACGATTGGCGAGCGCGCCGACAAGCTCAACGAGTTTCTGGACGCCGCCGTGCGCGCCGAACACCTCCAGTGGGGCATCAAGGTCGACGACTCCATCGCAGTCTACAAGCGCCGCGTCAAGAAGCCGCGCGCGACGACGACGGCGAGCTCGCGTGGCGCGCCGCCTCCGTCGAGCCGCCGGCGATAAGCAGCTAAGGCTTGTACATACACCCATTCTTGACCAACTGTTGGCGCAAACTCGTTGAGGGCGGGACTTGGTAGTGGTCGGGGTGAGGACAGCACCACAGCACAACGCACGCTGGAAAGAGAAGACGGCAACTTGAAGGTGGGCGCGCACTCTGTGGGCCCGCACGACCGGTAGGTCAACTGCTGCTGCAGAGCGCAAGCCCATGCTAGTACCGACCCGAGCGAATGGAGCCTCGCCTCCTGGCGGCGCTGCCACGTCACGTCGACGAGAACGTTATTGTCGGGTCGGTTGCAGACGTACACGACCCCTGCGACACCAAGGGACGGAATAGCGAAGAAGAGACACCATCATACAGACTGCATTAGATATGTGCTACACTTGGCTAGCAAGAAGGTATTGTCGCGTCGATTCAGCAGCACCAACGAGTCGCTTGGTCCGAAGACCAATGCTGGCGGAAGTGTGCTCAGAGTAAGAATCCCCGACTTGCTCCGTTCGTGCGAATGAAGCTGGCACCAGACAACGACGACGACGTGTGGACGATCAGCGCACGTACGAGGCGCTGTGCGGGCTTTCTACATTTACTGGTGCGTACCGTCGCATCACATGAGCGCGGCTGTTGCCAATGCATTTATAGCTTGGAAACCGAACGCAATTTTATATATACACCGCCGATGAGCTCGGTCGCGCCGGGACCGGTGCTCGGGACGCCGATGCGCGACAACCTCGTCGTCATCCAGCGCAGGTCGCCCGCGCTCTCGCTCCGAAAGTGGGTGCGCCAGGCCTCGTCGCGCGCGATCCGAAAAATCAAGGTACGTGCAGCGACGCCAATGCTACTATTACTATAAGAACTGGTTTGTAGCCGGCACCGATCGCGCTCGGCTGCCTCACTCTGCAGAACCCGGTGCGGCAACTCTGCCTCGCGCTCGTCACGTCCAAGTGGTTTGAGCGCTTCATCATGGTGTGTGTCCTCGCCAACACGCTCCTCCTCGGGCTCGTCGACTATACCAACGCGATCGACGGCGTGCCCGACCCGACGAATCGCCGCAACATGCTCATCGACCACGTCAACGCGATCTCGCTCTACGTCTTCCTCGTCGAAGCGAGCCTCAAGATCATCGCGTACGGCTTCCTCATGGGCAAAGGCACGTACTTGAGCGACGGCTGGAACCGACTGGACTTTGTCATAATCGTCTCGGGGTACCTATGCCACAATGTGGTGTCTGCCACGACACGTAATCTGTCCATAGGACGTTTTCGCTCGTCTATTCGTCTGCAAAGCTCGGGATCCTGCGCGTGCTGCGAATACTTCGGCCGCTCCGCGCACTCCACTCGGTGCCGGGTACACACTAGAGCCCGTCACATTGCACTATGATATCCATGCCCATCAACACGATGCGTAGGGCTTAAAGTGCTCACGGGGTCGCTTCTCTCGAGTCTACCGGCGCTCGGAAACGTGGCCATCATCCTCGCGTTCTGCTATCTCTTCTTTGCCATCCTCGGCATGGAGCTCTGGCGCGGCTCGTGGCATTATCGATGTCGCCTCACGCCGTTTCCTGTCCAGCTCAACGCCTCCGTGTGGAACGTCTCGGCCATGGCTCCGACGAGCAGCTACCTCGCCAGCGTCGTACGCGTCTCCCACCTTGAAGAACAGCGTGTAAAGTATTTGCTGGCGCTAGGTCGCGACGCCAGACGCCTTCCGCTGCCTCTCAATCGAGAACAACGAGTCGTGGCCATCGCCCATGCGCTGTTTCTGGCCCACGGACCCCGACGAAGATCATGGCACGCCGTGGCTGTGCAGCTCGTCGCCTTCGGTACGTCAACGGCAGTGGTGATATATCGATAGTGATGGACATTTGCGCTGTAGTGGGGGCGGCAGTGCGACGCCAATCGAACGTGTGGCTCCAACTACGATCCGTTTGGCGCCCCACGCTTTCAAGACCTGGATCTCCCGATGCCGTCCGACTACTCGCCGTTCTCGATCATGCGCCAGGCCGAATTCAGCCCCAACCTCAACTTTGGCTTTACGAGCTTTGACAATGTGTACAGCGTCTTCGTCATGATCATCATGATTGTGACAGCGTCCGGTTGGATGGTGCTCACCGAGACCGTACGAGATGCGTCGTAGCAACATGACCTTGCAAGCGACGGGATGTGTGTAGACCCAAGACGCGGGCGGGGCCGTGGCCGGGTTTGTCTATTTCAACGCCATTTTCTTCGTCGCGGGGTGCTTTCTGCTGCAGCTCAACATGGCCGTCCTCTTTTCCGAATTTGAAAAAGCCAAGGAGAACCACGCGACCGTCATGGCCCAGTAGGCATCCTATGCAATGTTGCGTGGATTCCGATATCTCTCATTTTGTAGCCAGCGACGCATCTCACTTGCGAGCTACGCCGACAGAACGTCCAGCCGCCAATTGTTCAAGCGGCCGTCGCTGCGCCTCGCATCGGGCACCCATCACCGGAGGCACCAGCCCAAGTGGCGTGCGATCGCCAAGCTGCGGCACCGCGCGGTACACTCTTTGAATATCGTCGCCGCTCATGGGTCGTTGTAGCGCCGACTCATTCGAACGCCGATGTTCGCGACCATGAGCATGGCCATGACGGTCACCAACGTGATTGTGCTCACGACCGACCACCACCCGAGCTCGATCGAGTACCGTGAGCTCTGCGACATTCTCAACGGTGTCTTCCTCCTCTACTTTTTCCTCGAGCTCTGCCTCAAAGTGGCCGGCATGGGGCTGGGGTCCTACTGGCAGTACGGCGATCTATCGATATGAGACAGGAGGGCTTATTCTCTCTCTCTTGTAGCGACAAGTTTAACCGGTTCGACTGCTTCACGGTCGTCATTGGCATCATCGAGATGGTGCTCAAGCCGCCGTACTACATTGACGGCACGGTCAGCGGCGCCTCTGGCTTTACAGCGCTGCGCGCGTTCCGGGCCATCAAGATTGCACGCGCGTGGAAGTCGCTGACAAAGCTGCTCGTGTCCATCATGGCGGCGATGGGCGAGATCCTCAACTTTCTCTTCTTCCTCGTGCTCTTCCTCTACATCTTCGCGCTCCTCGGCATGGAAGTGTTTGCGACCAAGTTTCAATTTGACGCCAACAACTATCCCATGCCGTTCAACTCGACGTCGCCGTCGACGCAGCTGCATCGATCCAACTTCGACACGATTTTCTGGGCGTTCTTCACCGTCTTTCAAGTCATCACGTACGACATGGCTCGTCGATTCTCGCTATAGCTATATGCGACATGACATCATATCGTAGGTACGACGAGTACCCAAGCGTGATTTGGGACGGCTGGATCAGCGTCGGCGCGATCGCGCCCTTGTACTTTTCCGCCATCGTCGTCCTCGGCGTCTGGGTCGTCATGAACATGTTCTCGGCGATCCTTGTCGAGAGCGTCATGGTCGAGCCGCCAAAGGAGAGCGTA